CAGCAGAAATCTTCTATGCATTTTCCTGGAGTCAACACTAATAAATTCAATAAGACTTTCTTCTGAACAGACATACATAGGATTGCATTCTTAAAGGCAACAACTACAGCCTACATGAGTATGTAAACTTCAACAGGTCTTAATGCAGTTGTTGCTATTGTGTGCCTTCAAGTCATTTCCAATTTATGAGAACCCAAAGGCAAAGCTAGCGCAGGATTTTCTGGGGCTAAGAATGTGTGATCTGACCAAGTTAAGTGGATTTCCATGGTCAAACAGAATGGAACCCTGGTTTTCAGAGTAATAGGGTGTATCTACACCGTAAAATAAATGCAGTTTGACACCATTTTAATTGACCAGGTTCACTGCAATGGAATAATTGGAGTTGTAATCTGAGAAGATCTTCAGCCTTCTCTGCCAAAGAGGGCTGCTTACACACCAACTCCCAGGAATCCATAGAAATGAGCCAGGGCAATTAAAGTGGTATCAAACTGCATTAATTGCACCATACATATGTAATCCCAGTCTAATAGTCAAGCCCCTACACTACAAGGATCTGCCTTTCCCCCCCCTGAAATGAGCTGCTCAGCTATAGACATTTCAAAATTTATCTTAGTTAACACTACCCTTCCTCTTCTATCGAATGTAAGAAGCTACTACGAGAACGTAATTTGTTCACTGTGACTGTTACAGGATAGGCAGGGGATGGTCAATACAAAAACAAAGGACAAAACAGGGATGACAAGGCAATCTAGCTAATGCTGTCACCCTCAGAATGTCAGCTGTCCACAGCAAAAAATAAATGACTATTTTGTTGGCTAGATGTGACAAGAATGCTGAACCAGATGAACAGAAGAAACTGCTATACATGAATTATTTTAAACTGCACATGACACAAGAAAGCTATGCTACTTGTACTAGCACAAGCCAAAACTAGCCATACAAGGTCATTGCTCTGGAATGAGATAACACTGAAGTGCCAAGAAAAGTCGGCCAAACCTTGCTCCACCAAAGGGGAGAATGCCTAAACCAGCAAATAACTCAATCCAACTTCAGGCCTTCTCCCACAAATAACACTGAAATCATTTCCGCCATTACATTTTCCACATTGGTAATTGAAATACAAAACCTTCACAGGACAGATATATGGTTCCATCAAAAATGGACCTCTCAGGAGTTCTTTGCCAGTGCTCCCTACGTAATGCATTCCAGATCAAAACAAACACAAAATCCCACCAGACTGCTAGCACTGTAGTTATTTAAAACCATGTACAAGCAGCTTTCCACTCATGTCAAGCTGTTTCTTGAAGCAGCTCAAGAAGCACATATGCAGCTGTATTTAAGAAACAAAACCTTAGGGTGCATTTATACAGTACAATTAATGTAGTGTGACACTCCTTCAACTATCACAATGCTATGGAGCCCTGGGAGTTGTATTTTGGTGACGAGCACACTTTGCCAGAGAAGATCTTGCAAAAATACTGTCCCCAAACTTCATCAATGCAATACTGCAGATGCACCTTTAGAATCTCAAGTTTTTCTCTATCTACATTGTAGAACCACTTCAGTATGACACTTTAACTTCTACAGAGTTGCTGAAATTGTAGTTTGGTGAGACACAGGGTAAAGATGTTATAAAACTACAACTTCCATGATTCCATCGTATTGAGCCATGGTACTTAAAGTGGTGTCAAACTGCATTAATTCTGCAGTACTGATGCAGCCCAAGAAGATATATATATTTCTGTGTATGCACATACCAATTATCATCATTATTCTGAAACTGGTAATATATTTCAAAGCAAACACTTTGGCAAACTATGGAGGCAATATAACTTCAAACACAACTAAAGCGGGTAGGAAACCTATTGCTCTCAGGAGAAATAAAATTTGGGTGCATCTACACTGAAGAATAAACACAGTTTGGGACCACGTGAACTGCCAGGACTCAATGCTATGGAATCATAGGAGTTGTAGTATGGCAAGCCATAAGTATTCTTTGACAGAGAAGGCTAAAGACTTTCTAAAAATTGCAACCCCCAGGATTCTATGGCACCGAGGCATGGCAGTTAAAGTGATATCTAGAATCATAGAGTTGGAAGAGACCTCGTGGGCCATCCAGTTCAACCTCCCACCAAGAAGCAGGAAAATCCCATTCAAAGCACTCCTGACAGATGGCCATCCAGCCTCTGCTTAAAAGCCTCCAAAGAAGGAGCCTCCACCCCATTCTGGGACAGAGAGTTATACTGCTGAACAGCTCTCTCAGTTAGGAAGTTCTTCCTAATGTTCAGGTGGAATCTCCTTTACTGTAGTTTGAAGCCACTGTTCTGCATCCTAATCTCCAGGGCAGCAGAAAACACACTTACTTCCTCCTCCCTATGACTTCCCCTCACATCTTGATACATGGCCCTCATCATGTCTCCTTTCAGCCTTCTCTTCTGCAGGCTAAACATGCCCAGCTCTTTAAGCCACTCCTCATAGGGATTGTTCTCCAGACCCTTGATCATTTTAGTCACCCTCCTCTGGACACATTACAGCTTGTCAACATCTCCCTTCAATTGTGGTGCCCAGATTTGGACACAGTATGAATCCAGGTGTGGTCTGACCAAGGCAGAACAGAGGGGTAGCATGACTTCCCTGGATCTAGACACTAGACTCCTAGTGAGGCTGTTAGGAATTGTGGGAGTTGAATTGAGGGAGGGCTCAAGTTGGCCTATGCCTGTTTTAGACTGTAACTCCCAGAATCACTAGTCAGCGGATGAGGGGGGAAAGGAAAGGGCTTGATGCTGTTAGGAACTGTGGGAGCTGAAGTTGGAGGGGGGGTCGAAGTTGGCCCATGCGTTTTAGACTGCAACTCCCAGAATCAAGAGTTAGAAGCTGAAGGAGGGAAAGGAAAACCATAGGTTTTTAAAACCTTGTGTGTTATTGTCTATGTGTGAGTTATATGATATTAATATCAATGTGTGAGTTATATTATATCATATTAATATTAACTGTATTGTTTATTTTGCTTATTCCCTGCTGTTTTTATTGATGTGTTGTTGTTGGGCTTGGGCTCATGTAAGCCGCTCCGAGTCCCTTGGGGAGATGGTGGCGGGGTATAAATAAAGTATTATTATTATTATTATTATTAACCCTGGGGCTGTTTAGGGATTGTGGGAGTTGAAGTCCAAAACACCTGGAGGGAGGGACCAAGTTGGCTCATGCCTGTTTTAGACTGCAACTCCCAGAATCAAGAGTTAGAAGCTGAAGGAGGGAAAGGAAAACCATAGGTTTTTAAAACCTTGTGTGTTATTGTCTATGTGTGAGTTATATTATATTAATATCAATGTGTGAGTTATACTATATTATATTAATATTAACTGTATTGTTTATTTTGCTTATTCCCTGCTGTTTTTATTGATGTGTTGTTGTTGGGTTTGGGCTCATGTAAGCCGCTCTGAGTCCCTTGGGGAGATGGTGGCGGGGTATAAATAAAGTATTATTATGGTTCTTGTGGGTTTTTTCGGGCTATATGGCCATGTTCTAGAGGCATTTTCTCCTGACGTTTCGCCTGCATCTATGGCAAGCATCCTCACTACCTCTGAGGATGCTTGCCATAGATGCAGGCGAAACGTCAGGAGAAAATGCCTCTAGAACATGGCCATATAGCCCGAAAAACCCCCCACAAGAACCTAGTGATTCCAGCCATGAAAGCCTTCGACAATACAAAGTTTTATTATTATTATTATTAACCCTGGGGCTGTTTAGGGATTGTGGGAGTTGAAGTCCAAAACACCTGGAAGGAGGGCCCAAGTTGGCCCATGCCTGTTTTAGACTGTAACTCCCAGAATCACCAGACAGTGGCTGAGGAGGAAAAGGAACGGGCCTGGGGTTGTGAGGAATTGAGGGAGTTGAAGTCCAAAACACCTGGAGGGAGGGCCCAAGTTGGCCCATGCCTGTTTCAGACTGTAACTCCCAGAATCAAGAGTCAGAAGCTGAAGGAGGGAAAGAAAAACCATGGGTTTTTAAATCCTTGTGTGTTACTGTCTATGTGTGAGTTATATTATATTAATATTAATGTGTGAGTTATATTATATTAATATTAACTGTATTGTTTATTTTGCTTATTCCCTGATGTTTTTATTGATGTGTTGTTGTTGGGCTTGGGCTCATGTAAGCCGCTCCGAGTCCCTTGGGGAGATGGTGGCGGGGTATAAATAAAGTTTTATTATGGTTCTTGTGGGGTTTTTTGGGGGCTATATGGCCATGTTCTAGAGGCATTTTCTCCTGATGTTTTGCCTGCATCTATGGCAAGCATCCTCACTACCTCTGAGGATGCTTGCCATAGATGCAGGTGAAACGTCAGGAGAAAATGCCTCTAGAACATGGCCATATAGCCCGAAAAAACCCCCACAAGAACCTAGTGATTCCAGCCATGAAAGCCTTCGACAATACAAAGTTTTATTATTATTATTAACTCTAGGGCTGTTTAGGGATTGTGGGAGTTGAAGTCCAAAACACCTGGATGGAGGGCCCAAGTTGGCCCATGCCTGTTTTAGACTGTAACTCCCAGAATCACCAGTCAGTGGCTGAGGGGGGAAAGGAAAGGGCCTGAGGCTGTGAGGAATTGTGGGAGTTGAAGTCCAAAACACCTGGAAGGAGGGCCGAAGTTGGCCCATGCCTGGTGTAGACTCAACCTTTGTTAATAGGGCAGTGTGTGGGATTGAACCCTGGATTTCTCTGGCTCCAAACATTCCCCCAGGAACATAGGGAAATCCCACCTTCGACCCACCTAATAGTTCCAAAGAGGAAGAGGGGTGGGAAGGAAGGAGGGAGGGGACGCAAAAATGGCAGCCCCCCCCCCTCCCCCTCATTCCTGGGAGTCCAAAGAGGCGTCGTTTCTCCAGTGCAGACTGGGCCCCTCCCTTCCCAAAGCAAGCCCCACACAAAGCCAGTCTGGGAGGGATGCCTGCCTCTTCCCGGCCCTCTCTCCTTGAGCTGGGCCTGCCAGTCCTGCTTACCGTCCTGCTCTTCCATGTCGCACCGCCGCTCCCTCAGAGGCTGCTATTGCTACTGCTCCTGCCGCCGCCCCCTCGCCCTCCTCCTCCCCCAAAGCGACTGAGGCTGCTGCTCCAGCAACCCGGCCACCTCCCCGCCGCTAACATCCCCCGCACTGATTGGCTTCGGGGAGGCACGCACTGCGGGTGGGCGGGGCCTCGGCACCCATTGACCTCCTCAAGCTGCGGCCCTCCATCTGTTTTGGGCCTCCAACTCCCAGAAGCCCTTGCCGGCTTGTTCAATGGCCAGGAATTCTGGGAGTTGGAGGCCCAAGTCGCTGGAAGGCCGCAGCTTGATGATTCCTTCTTGAGGATGCCTGCCCAAGTACCATTTGGGTGTGCCTGCAGGCGTGTGCTCTGACGTCATCAGCGTCACCATCCATCTATCTCTTCTATCTATATAAATAAACTAGCCATCCCCTGCCACGCATTGTTGTGGCCCACATGGGGGTTCTGTGTGGGAGGTTTGGCGCAATTCTATCATTGGTGGGGTTCAGAATGCTATGTGATTTTAGGTGAACTATAAATCCCAGCAACTACAACTCCCAAATGTCAAGATTCTATTTTCCCCAAACTCCAGCAGTGTTCACATTTGTGTATATAGAGTATTCTTGTAGAGTTTGGCCCAGATCCATCATTGTTTGAGTCCACAGTAATCTCTGGATGTAAGTGAAGAGTTTGGTCCAGATCCACAGTGATCTCTGGATGTAAGTGAACTACAACTTCAAAACCAAAGGACACTGCCCACCAAACCCTTCCAGTATTTTCTGTTGGTCATGGGAGAACTGTGTGCCAAGTTTGGTTCAATTCCATCGTTGGTGGGATTCTGAATGTTATTTGATTGTAGGTAAACTATAAATCCCAGCAACTATAACTTCCAGATGACAAAATCTTTTTTTTTTTTGACTGAAGGACATACATTTGGTTGTTAGGTGTCTTGTGTCAAAATTTGGTGTCAATTTGTCCAGTGCTTTTTGAGTTCTGTTAATCCCACAAACGAACATTACATTTTACTACACAGAGAAGCCATTGAAATCCACAAGCATGTGGACAATTTCAACAGAAAGGAAGAGACCATGAAAATGAACAAAATCTGGCGACCAGTATTAAAAAAAACTCTAAAATTACAACAGCAAAACAGCAGAGAGGAAACAACCAGGCACATCTTAATACCTCTCAACAAAAGATTTTCCCAGGCTCAGCCAGGCCTTCAAATGCTAATGAAGGTGGTCAGTTGAAATATTCACACCTAGCTCCAGCAGAGAAGAGCTCTTTGCCCCACCCCAGCCATTCCACAGATATATAAACCCATTGTCCTAATTCCAACAGACCTCACTACCTCTGAGGATGCTTGCCATAGATGCAGGAGAAATGCCTCTAGAACATAGCCCTATAGCCCGAAAAAACCCACAAGAACCTAATTACATTTTTATTTATATAGATTGTAATGTTTGTTTGTGGGATTAACATAACTCAAAAACCACTGGACGAATTGTCACCAAATTTGGCCACAAGAGTGACCATTACTAAAAAAAAAATAATGTTGTCATTTGGGAGTTTATATGCTGCCCTTCTCACCCCGAACGGGACTTACAGTGGCTTACAAGTTATATGTACATACAATATATTATATTATTAGCATAGCACAATATTAGTATGATATATTATGATATTGTATTATACCTCTATACTGTAATATTATTAGTAATATTACTGTAGGTAAGGTAAAGGTTTTCCCTGACATTAAGTCCAGTCGTGTCCGACTCTGGGCGTTGGTGCTCATCTCCATTTCTAAGCCGAAGAGCCGGTGTTGTCCGTAGACACCTCCAAGGTCATGTGGCCGGCATGACTACATGGAGGGCCGTTACCTTCCCGCCGGAGCGGTACCTATTGATCTACTCATATTTGCATGTTTTTGAACTACTAGGTTGGCAGCAGCTGGGGCGGACAGCAGAAGCTCAGGCTGCTTCCTAGATGCAAAACTTCGACCTTTTGGTCAATAAGTTTAGCAGCTCAGTGGTTTAGCTGGATTGCAGTTAAACATAAAAAACCAAGATTATAGCAACCAGACTGATTGATACCTGGCAAATAGAGGGAGAAAACACGGAAGCAGTGACAGACTTTGCATTTATTTATTTATTTATTTATTTATTTATTTATTTATTTATTTATTTACTTTGCTTATATACCGCTGTATCTCAAGCCCGAAGGCGACTCACAGCGGTTCACAAACAGTAAAAACAGTAGAAACAGCAGTGGTTCCATACAACATATAACAATTGACTTAACACATCATCCATAAATTACCAATAAGCAATTACAATGCACAATTATTACAAAAAACAACCGTACCCAATCTTCTCATCATCCAAGCGTAGTCCAGGTTCGTCGTCCATTGTTCCATTCCTATGTTCCATTACCAGATTGCACTAAATTACTCAAACGCCTGCTCAAACATCCAGGTCTTCACCTTTTTGCGGAATACCATTAGAGATGGTGCTAGTCTAATTTCTAGGTGCAAAGATGACTGCAGATGCAGACTGCAGCCAGGAAATCAGGAGACGCTTACTTCTTGGCAGGAGAGCAATGCCAATCTCGATAAAATAGTGAGGTGTAGAGACATCACACTGGCAACAAAGATCCGCATAGTTAAAGCAATTGTATTCTCCATAATAATCTATGGATGTGAAAGCTGGACCATAAGGAAGGCTGAGGGAAGGAAGATATGCACTTTAGAACTGTATTGGAAGAAAATTCTGAGAGTGCCTTGGACCACAAGAAGATCAAACCAGTCCATACTCCAGGAAATCATGCCCGGTTACTCACTGGAGGGAAGGATATTAGAGGCAATGATGAAGCACTTTGGCCACATAATGAGAAGACAGGAAAGCTTGGAGAAGACAATTATGTTGGGGAGAATGGAAGGAAAAAAGGAAGAGTGGCCAATCAAGGGCAAGGTGGATGGATATTATCCTTGAAGTGACTAGCTTGACCTTGAAGGATCTGGGGGTGATGACAGCCGACGGGGCTCTGGCATGGGCTGGTCCATGTGGTTACAAAGAGTCGGAAATGACTGAATGAATAAACAACAAGAAATGCAATATCACACTACGGTAGCAAATCACAGAGTATTAAATTTCCATCTCATATGCAATTATACATTATATGCAATATCTCACTACAGCAAACAAATCACATTGCTAAATTTCTATATTATATGAAGTTGGACACTAGGCCTGGGAGGTTTCGTTCGTTAATTCGTTAATTCGTTCATTATTAGTTATTTTTAGCATTTACGAAACGATAACAAAACACATTTTCAAACCCGGAAGGGTTTAAAAATAACGAAGCGGCATCCCCCATCCTTTTAACGAGCTTCCGCCCGTTTCAGAAATGGGATGGAGGATGCTGGTGCCTGGGAGCCAATCCGGCGCTCCCAAGCACCCAAGCAGTGCACCGTGGCTGTGTCTGATTGGCCGGCAAGGCCTTTAAAAGCGGCTCCGCGTGGCCGCAGAGCTCATTTGTTGCGCGGAGGCGAGGGAGGAGAGAGGTCTGGGAGGGCTGCTTGCTTTGGGTTGGCTTGGTTGCGGTAGCAAAAAGACTTGCATTGGGTTGGCTTGAGACTCTTCTGTTGGTGTGTGCTTTTGGCTGTCTTTTGGCTGTGTTAGCTTTAGATTAATTTTCCATTTCTGAATATTTTCTAAAAATACCTGCCTTTTATTCTTAAAAAAAATACAAAAAATATTCCAAAAAAAGAAAAGACTCTTTTGTTGGTGTGTGCTCTCATTTGCCCTGTCTCCTGCCTGTGTTAGCTCTACATCAGGGCCAGTTTAGTTAATTTTCCATTTCTGAATATTTTCTAAAAATACCTGCCTTTTATTCTTAAAAAAAATAAAAAAAATATTCCAAAAAAAGAAAAGACTCCTTTGTTGGTGTGTGCTCTCATTTGCCCTGTCTCCTGCCTGTGTTAGCTCTACATCAGGGCCAGTTTTTAGTTAATTTTCCATTTCTGAATATTTTCTAAAAATACCTGCCTTTTATTCTTAAAAAAAATACAAAAAATATTCCAAAAAAAGAAAAGACTCTTTTGTTGGTGTGTGCTCTCATTTGCCCTGTGTCCTGCCTGTGTTAGCTCTACATCAGGGCCAGTTTAGTTAATTTTCCATTTTTGAATATTTTCTAAAAATACCTGCCTTTTATTCTTAAAAAAATACAAAAAAATATTCCAAAAAAAGAAAAGACTCTTTGTTGGTGTGTGCTCTCATTTGCCCTGTCTCGTGGCTGTGTTTGGTCCACATCAGGGCCAGTTTTGGTTAATTTTCCATTTTTGAATATTTTCTAAAAATACCTGCCTTTTATTCTTAAAAAATACAAAAAATATTCTAAAAAGAAAAGACTCTTCTGTTGGTGTGTGCTCTCATTTGCCCTGTCTCGTGGCTGTGTTTGGTCCACATCAGGGCCAGTTTTTGGTTAATTTTCCATTTTTGAATATTTTCTAAAAATACCTGCCTTTTATTCTTAAAAAAAAATACAAAAAATATTCCAAAAAAAGAAAAGACTCTTTTGTTGGTGTGTGCTCTCATTTGCCCTGTGTCCTGCCTGTGTTTGGTCTACATCAGGGCCAGTTTTTGGTTAAGTTTCCATTTCTGAATATTTTCTAAAAATACCTGTCTTTTATTCTTAAAAAATACAAAAAATATTCTAAAAAAGAAAAGACTCTTCTGTTGCTGTGTGCTCTCATTTGCCCTGTCTCGTGGCTGTGTTTGGTCCACATCAGGGCCAGTTTTTGGTTAAGTTTCCATTTCTGAATATTTTCTAAAAATACCTGCCTTTTATTCTTAAAAAAAATACAAAAAATATTCCAAAAAAAGAAAAGACTCTTCTGTTGGTGTGTGCTCTCATTTGCCCTGTCTCGTGGCTGTGTTTGGTCCACATCAGGGCCAGTTTTTGGTTAAGTTTCCATTTTTGAATATTTTCTAAAAATACCTGTCTTTTATTCTTAAAAAAATACAAAAAATATTCTAAAAAAAGAAAAGACTCTTTTGTTGGTGTGTGCTCTCATTTGCCCTGTCTCGTGGCTGTGTTTGGTCCACATCAGGGCCAGTTTTTGGTTAATTTTCCATTTTTGAATAT